CCCCAAAACCCCAAAACCCCAAAACCCCAAGTTATAATATTAAGGTTGGAACAGGACAAATGCATCTAACTATAATTTCTTTAATATTTTGGATAACTAATCGAACTCTTTTATTCTAGTACCAAAACAGAGGTCTGGGCCTTCAGTTAATTTCCTGACTATAGCCATTAAAGTATATGCCTCTGTGGAGATTTTAGCAACAAAGTTATGAAAACCTCAAAAAATTACTACCATAAGTACCATGATTTGTAGTATTAAAAGTTATAGCTCCCTAACCAAGGCTATGATTGTTTTATTTCCATACTAAAAATTAGCAAGACAATTAGGTTTGAATAACGAGAGTAAAATTACTGATGAAAATGCGAGATTTAAAAATAGTATATCACCAAATCGACTGTTTCTACGATTTGTTGAATTAACTTTCCTAACCCAAATTATCTTTTTTCAAAATAGATAAAATATATTTCAAAATTATTGCACAGTTTGGATTTAGAAGAAAGAATTAGTGAAACATTTTATTAAGGAACACTCCATTATAGTTATTGGCGTGAATTTGATAATGTTTTTATGTAAGCCTTCCTACTAGACATTTCTTGATAGGCTTCTTGCATCAGTTCTTGACTGAACTCTCAGTCCACCCACGGATGGGACAAGACTTCTAGCATTGAAGGTCGCTTGTATGGGTCTGGATGAGTCATCGATTGAAGCAGATCTTTAAGTTCAGATGATACAAGGTTCCATCCAGAGTTGCTTTCTTCATCATCCATGTCAACATCTCATGAGGTCTTGGCATCACAATCCGATGTTGACACGTTTTTTTTCAGCATTTGAGCACTTGGGAATTCTCCAGTAACCATAACATAAATTGTCACTCCTAGCGAGTAAATGTCAGCAGGGATGGCCATGAACGATTGGCCAGATTCCAAGTTGGCAACTTCAGGAGCCATGTAACTAAGCGTCCCTCTGCGCCTGTTGACCATGGTGTCAAACTCAGGAGCTTCAATGCAAGACCCCAAGTCAGCAAGCTTGGCATTAAACAGCCCATCCAGCAGAATGTTTTCCAACTTTATGTCTAGGTGGGCATACCCGAGACTGTGCATGTGGTTGACTGCGCTTCAGACTTGTGCAGTGAAGAGCCTCGCAATTTGTTCTTCGATGGGTCCAGTGCTTCTCACAAAGGCTGAGAAGGCTCCATTTTCAGCATACTCGAGCACATTGTAGACTACAGGCTCTGACTTGTTGTGCATGGTGAAGGTTCCATTGAGCTCGGAACCCATTCACCGGATAATGTTTGGATGGCCTTCCAAAGTTGATAGCATATCAGCTTCTCTCTTGACGAGTGTCTCGATCACTTGTTGGGAGTATTTCTTGTCTTTGCGCATTGTCTTGATTGCGACTTGCATTTGAGCAGCATCAGTGGCAAGAAAGACTTTGGAACTGCCTCCTTTGCCGAGAATTTTTTTGAGTTCAAAAGTATTATCAATCATTAAATTATTTATAGAATTTAGTATTAAGTTTTTATATACCTCTAATTGTGATAAGGTTCTAATAAATCTTCGATCCCAAATGGATTAGGCAGCATCGATCTATTGAGGTTAAGTCTTATTCTAACTCAAAAGAAAAGAGAGGCATCTTAAATTATCTAAAAGTTTAGCTGAAATTTGCTCGCTAATAGAAAAATAATGAAACTGAACTTATTCAGGTTTAGAAATTTTTCAGAGTTTTATAAATTTTCTACTATCTTTTTCCAATAAGCCAAGACTCTGGTTAAGTTTTGTTAAGACTCCTATCAAATTTTAAGCATCATTACTTAATATAATATTGTGATGAACTCTCCAAAATTTGGAGTATAATGGTATGTCTATAATTTACATATGAGGTACGATTAAGATATCTATCCAATTTTGGTGCTTTTGGGCATATTTAGAGCTTATAAACCATGAAAAAGTGTTAACTCCTTATCTTTGAATTTTATTCGTGCTCTAACAAGACTCTAGACTAGAGTGAGCTATCTGAAAATTAACTAGGACCAACTGAATTTGCTATTTTGAGCTCATAAAGCAGCCATCCCGAGATAGGAAGTAAATTTCAGCAACAAAAGCTTGCTCAAAGTATTATAGAAATATCCAGTACTTAGAAGAAATATGTGGGTATATGAAGAATTCTTACTTCATAATTCCCGAAAGAGGCTACATCATGGTCCATACTTTAGTTACAATACCTAGGCTAATGAGTGAAGCAATTGAACATATACCCTGGTTATTGTAATAGCCATCTCTTGTTAGGAAAAATTACTGAATGTTTCAAAACGACTTCTTTAAAATATAGGTTTATCCAAAATTACTTGAGATTTCTGGTCGCTCGAAATAGATATCCCTTTGCCCATTCTATTTAGGCTTCTTCATTTGGACTGAGCGATGGTAGGCTTGAGAAAATAATTTTGAAAGTTTTTATGAACTTTCATATCTGAAAAATTCTGAAATTTTTCAAAAAATTTAGTGCTGATTTATCCAGTTATTTTTTTTAACTAGCTAGGGTTGGATAAACCTCACCCAGATAAAGGACTACTTTTTTGCAACAAATAATTCTGGTATAATAACCATTAGGCCTGGTATGTAAACTAGGTTTGGAAATGAGCTTAATAGAAGGAACTGAATAGTTCGACATAAAATTAAAATTAAATATATTTATGAACACCCATGTTTGCAATTTAGCATCACCAAATGAGGTAGAACATCGCACTAAAACCTTATTTTAGGTGTAAATGAAATAAAATTTGCGAGATGAAATCACCCATTATCCATTAGCTTCCTGAATATTGTTAGAAATTTACTATAAACACTCAAAGGTGTGCTGCTCAGCAACACAGAACTTGTACTATCACAGTTCCGTTTAATTCTTAAATTATCAATTTTCAAACCTTTGATATTTTCTTACTGTCTCCAAGTATTTTTGGTCCTCCCAAAATTTGAAGAGGAAACTGGACCCTTAACTATGCCTTCCCGCTTGAAGTAAGACGCCAGTGGGAATACTAGACCTATTTTCTTTGAGAGTAGCCAGAACATCTTAATGGTTTAGGTGATATAAAGAGGTTTTTAAATCAACATAAATTTGTTCAATAAAATGATTTGTCCTAGGGGTTTTGGGGTTTTGGGGTTTTGGGG